CAATAACTAGTGTTCTTTTATTACAAACTCTATAGGTCTTACTTGTAATAGAATAGCCAAGAAATATACTTTCATCGGATTTATCATCGAACTTATCAACATTGCCTTTGCCATTTTTTAGAACTAAGCATTTGCACCCAAAAACATGAACATGTGAAATATTTGGCTTTCTTCACTTGTAAAGTTCATATGGTGTATTATTTAAAATGGGTTGAATAATAACACAATTCAATACATACTATGCCATGCTTACAACGTCTGCCAAAACATATTTCGGAATATTTGATTCACTAAGCATTGTCCTTGCAAGTTTTTCTAAAGACTGATTCTTTCTTTCAATTACACTATTTTTTTGAGGAGTTCTTGGTGCTGAAAAGTTGTGGGAGATACCATGCTCATCAAAAAATTCTTCGAATGATGCATTTTGAAATTCTTCGTTATGGTCACTTCAAATTGACACGAACTTCATGGATTTCTCATTTTGCACTAGCTTTGCATACTTTTTGAATATTTTGAATGCACCACTTTGCTGTACAAAAAACAAAGTTTAAGTGAATCTAGAAAAGTCATCAATAATAACTAAAGCATAAAATTTACCTCTAAAGCTTCTAGTCTTTGAAGGACCAGACAAATTGATATGTATCAATTGAAGAAGCCTTTTAGTAGACACCATATTCTATGGCTTGGATGATACTTTTGTTTGCTTGCACTTTTGACATGCATCACATAACCTATCTTTGATAAATTTTATCTCAGATAGTCCAATAACAAGGTCATGTTTGACTAGTTTATTCAAATGCTCAATGTGAATATGTGTTATTCTTTTGTGCTAAAGTCATTCATCATTATTGTTATTTACCACAAGAAACTTAAGTTTCAAAGATAAGTCACCTAATGATATCATGAATATATTGTTGATTATTTTTCCCATAAAATTTATTTCATGAGTGATTTCATCTTATATTATGCACTCCTCTTTGTTGAAGTTGATCTTTAATCCTTTTTCACATATTTGGCTTATGCCTAAAAGATTATGCTCCTTCAACATATAGAACATCACTATTGTTGTAAATGGAGGAGTGCCAACTTTGCCAATTCCAAGAGTTCTTCCTTTGTTGTTGTCTCCATAAATCACAAATCCTTTATATTTTAGAGTAAGAGATGAAAATTTTGACTTGTCTCTAGTCATGTGCTTGGAGCAACCACTATCTAGATACCACATATTGGTAGTGGTATTCAAGCATACCTACAAAGCAAGTTAAAATTTGTTAGGTACCCAATGTACTTTGGATCCTTGTTGGTTAATTTATTTCTTGACCCAAACCTACTCATCATTAGGAACACCATAGTTTCTTATATAGCAAGCATAAATGGTATGACCTTTTGTATTGAAATAAAACATATAGGTTTAAAGACACGATTCCTTTTATAGGCATAAGAATCATTTATAACATAAGGCTTCTTAGGATGAATTACACCAAGCACTTTCTTTGATTCCACATTGTCAAATATGGTGCTAGCCTTAACAAAGATTGTTTTTCTTGTACTTGATTTATCAAATTTAGAGAAAGCAATTCTATATTTATCATTTGTGTATCTTTGTCTACTTAGCACACTTTCCAAACCAATTTGACATTTTCCATATACCTTTATCACCTAGTTTAATTCAGTAATTTTGACTTCATGTAATTGAAATTTATTGCATGTTAAATTATTATTTTTTGTCTAATTTCACTTTAGTGTCATTAGCCTTGCTGTTTTTTTTTTTAAAAAAAAAAAAATCTTTTTCTTTGAACAAGTTCTAGAAAGTGTAAAACATTTCTCATGTAATTCACGAAACTAATTTTGCAATTCATCATATGAAGTTTTATCATTAATTCCAAAATCACTAACCTTTTGTTCATCATCTAAATAACGTGAAGCCAACAATGTGAAGTTTGCACATTCTTCATTTTCTTAATCGGAAGATGAACTCACTTCATTGTCATTCCATACAATGTATGCCTTATTTTATTTTGATTCTTTCTTTCCTTTGAAGCTACTTTTATTTGCAAGAGAGGGGAAATCCATTTTCACGTGATCCTGCTTTCGTATTCGAAACATGTAAAATCCTGGTTTTATGTTGAAGCCTCACCTTTCTTGAAGAATTTTATTCTCTTACCAAATCTCATGGTTTTGTCTTTTTGAATGAACTTGACAAACTTTTTTACAAGTAAGTTAATATTTTCATCTTGATTCGAATCATCATCTTGCATTACTTCCTTTGACTCCACCCTTAAGGCAATACTTTTTTATTTCTTTTCTTGATCTTGATGCTTTTCTAGCCTTCCAAGTTATAACTCACGTTCTTGAAGTTTTCTGCACAATGCCATTGAGGATATTTTGGAGAGACTTTTCTTTTGTGATATAGATGTTATCTTTGGTTTCCATGCTCTTGTTAATGATCTAAGAAATTTAAGATTTAACTCATCATTTGTGAATGTTTTTTCAAGAGCCATTAAGTGATTTGTCAAATGTGTAAATCTATTTTGCAAATCAAGTATTGTTTCACCAGGTTGCATTCTAAACATCTCATATTCTCGTGATAGAATGTTTAGTTTACATCTTATTACTTCTACCTTACCTTCATGTGTCACTTTCAATGTATCCAAATTTCTTTTGTTGTTTTACAATTTGATACACGAAATAATTCATTCATGCCTAATGCAGGTGCAAGTATATTTTATACCTTCTTATCATACATCACTTTCTTCTTATCGTCATCATTCCAAAAGTCGTTCACCTTTATTTGTTCTACATTGTTTATGACCATTATAGGAACGAATAATCCATTTTCAACAGCATCCCATATTTCTTCTCCTTGTGCTTCTCAGTACATCTGCATGCGAATCTACCAGAAGCCATAATATTCACAAAAGAAACAAGGGGGTTTGTTTCTATTGCCATCATCTGCGAAGAACGCTTTTGCAGAAGTCATATTTACCCGTATCAAGGAGCAAGTTACCTTAACCTTCTTTGATGCAACCTAAAAGGGGCAATGGTGAATTAGGTTTTATGATTTTTCTCGTTATTTTTTAGATGTTCTTTTATTTTTATTTTTTCAAAAATGTAATGATGAACTTAGAAAAGAAATGCAGAAAAATAAAGTGCAGAAGAGTAAATGAGACAAGATTTATACTAGTCCCCCCTTAACTTCAAGGGTACATCTAGTCCCTTCACACCCCGTGAAAGATTTTCACCATGTTGTATATTTTTATAGCCTAACAAAATCAATAAACCACACCACTTTATTTTCTTACAACACTCATAGTAAGAACACTACTTTCTCTTGTACTTGCTTGCTACCACAAACTTGATGGACATGTTACAGTAGAATAATAAATATATATTGAGTAAAGTGATTTTAGATGATTTTTAAAAATTCTGAAATTTATCTTCACTTTTTAATAAACAATTCAAGAATATATAAATTCTAAGTGCTCAAGGGTTTAAGAAACTTTTTCTCTGATGTATGAAAAAAAAAAGTTCTAAGAGGATTGTGTATGAACACTTTGAAAAGTAAATGGATTGTTTGAAAATTATGATGAAATATGTGAATTGAAATCTAAAAGTTTTCAGCTTTAAATATATCATAGGATATCTCTTAGATGAGTAGTAAATAATAGAAAAAGTTCATGATGGATTGCTACGTTTTAGAATAGCTTTCATGAACATGTGCAATGAACAAACATCACAATGATTCTGATTTTTCACAAGAAAATTTGATTGCACTTTGGATCAATCGATTTGTTTTATGTGCAACGTTTAAAATTTTTGACCATATACAAAGGATAAATCGATTACTTATCTTGATCAATCGATTATAGGATCAAATTTTCAAGGAAAAAAGGATTCCACAATCGATTGTCCTTTTGGATAAATCGATTGACACTTAAAAAAAATCCAATTTTATGAGGCAGTTGGAAACAAGCAATTGATTGCACCCTTTAAGAATTTAAAATTTGATCTTTTTAAGGTGTGCCTTGAATAAAGATCATGCATAATGATATGAAAATTTTGTAAGGGTTTAGATGAAGGGTTTTGAGCACCTAAAGTTTATACACAATTGAATTGCTAGTATACATTAGCACATGATCCAATTCCTTGATATCCATAACTTAAGTAAGTATGATCAATCATTGACTTAAGGCTTTTTCAATCTTGAAATCCTTGCCTTTTTTGAATTAACTTTTCTTCATCAAATCATTATTCCAATCATGATATTATCTTCAAAAAGTCAACAAATGCTTATCATGTATACCATATTGTGTGTTGGATTTCAAGTGTGAGTGGATAAAGTCTTATATCGATTAAAAATGGACAAAATTTTGAGTTTATAAGAGAAATGACTCATATCTCTAATAACTTGTTTTTGGTAGAATGTGGCGTTAAAGTTTTTTGAAATCATGAACGTTTGACCCATTGACACTTTCGGGCATCGCTCCCCAGACTCCTCAATATTTTGTATATTTTGAAGATTTTTATATGTAAGTTTAAGGTTAAATTTTCTCATACTTCTCATGGAGGGAAGTTATATATTAAAATTAGTTAAGTTAGTTTGTCTAAGATAAGATTTCCATTCTCAATGAGATGTTTTGAATTTTTATGGTTAAAAGAAACATTTTTGAGCTAACTGAAAAAATATGGCCATAAAACTCCATTACCCGAACCCAAACAATAATTGACTTAACTGGTTGATAAAAACTCTTAATAGATGATGAAAAATAATGAAAACAAATTTCTATAGCTATAACTAAATGCTAATTACATAACATGAGCATCCAAGCTTATTATTTCCTTTTGCTATTGAACCCTGATGGATTTATCAAGTAAACAAAATTTACAACCTTAAAACTATAGCCATGAATATATAATATAGAGAAAAGGAGGAGACTTTAAAGGAAAAGAGAAAATGTGGTAGCTAGCAGTAGCATGCTATAGCTACCACGAATAGCATGCTTCTAGAATCCTTTCTTTAGTTTATTGGCTTGTTCCCATGTTTCCTCACATTCTATTTCATCTTCCACACATTCATCCCTCACCATATAGTGTTGTTGATAGTATCTGAATGCCACAAATAACACAAACACTGCAATTTGACAGTAATTAGTACATACATACATGTATTCAACTAGCTAGCTAAGTTGAATTGCGAACAAGATAATTTACCTGCCCAAATGCGAGCAACAACCGATGACAGATTCCATACAAGACCGAAGATGCCAAGAGCCACGGCTTTCTTGTGAGTGCATGAATCCCATGCATCCCGAAATCGACGAATCCAAAAATTTCCTTCATCATATCAACAAAGTTAAAATTAACATAATCGGTTTACATACTTTCAACTCATTAACATAATCAGTAAAAAAATTTAAAATATTTATAATAGTCCGTCTTACACGTCTTAAAAAACGACATCGGTCGTTAGAGGAGACAGAAGAAAACCAATGAAAAAAAGAGTACAAACATAAGAAACTGATTTTTATTGACTTTTGGGATTGGGACCACACAATTCAACGGTTGTGTTTCCTTCACTCTCAAACCAAGAAAAAGGAGACCCAAGTTCTAGTAATGGGCTTGTCAGAAAATAAAGAAAACCAAAGATTCTAATCCATGTGATGCATTAATTATGTTTCATTAAAACAAAAAGAAAATCTTAATTGAAAAAGCTATAATTGGAGGTCTTTGTAAAACATAAATAAAACAGTAGAATCATTTTTATAATAAGTTAATTATATTTTTGAGAATTAAAAATTATTTAAAATTGTTTATAGACTCACAGATCTACATTATTATGATGCATTGGTTTTAGAGACACTATAGCATAAAATAAAATCATGAGTATAACTAGTTGTCTGTTTCAAAGACTTATTAATAATGCATTCAGGTCTTGTGGGCCAGTGAAAGCACCGCACCGTATACTATGAAGTTGTAGTAAAAAATCAGACATTAAATAATGGTAGAAAAAGCAACATTAAAATTACCATATGCAGTTAACTGTGCTGAATACGAAGAACAGATCTTTGGTACTATAAAAACTCCAAAGAATCCTGAAATTTGTCAGTAATCAATCAAGTTACAACAATTTCAGTAACACAATAACCAAACAAAGTCATTCTATTCATACCATTTCTACCTGAGTGTCCAATCTAACAATATCGACATTATCGGTTGAATTAGAGTTATAACTTACCGAATTTGGCCATTTTCCAAATAGTTATGAAACTGCCACATCTAGCCAAAACAAACAGCAAAATTGCCAACTGCAATTTGTACACACAAGTGCTAACATAAGCATTATAATGTTTGTGAATAAAATGTTGAAATGCTAAGAAGAAAAAGTTACCTTCATTGTGGTACCAGGATCTCCAGAGAAAAGTGCTTTGAGTTTGGACAGGAATTCATTCAAATAAGGTAGGACCAACTGCAGCATCCAAATTGCATCTTTTTCTCCTACTACATAATCTGAATCTTGTACATCTATGACTCCCCTGATCCCAAAAGAGAATCAGTAAACACATAGATGCATATTTAGACTGACACGCGGCCATATCAGACCTAAACATAACTAACTATCTATGTCATCAAAGTTGATTACCTGCAAATTAGGGATCTATACAGAAAGATAACTGCAAGATAGACAAGACCTACATAGGACATTGCAGAAATGACACTGCAAAAAGCAAGGACAGAAAAACCTCAGTATCATTATGAAGTACGGATATCAGATAAGTAGACACAACACTGAAACTAACACGTCGACACTGATAATAATTTTGAAAAAGCATATCAGTGTCATGTCGGACATTGACACTGACATGCTTTTTTTAGAGACGTCGGTGCTATAGAGTTATATCATACTCATAGCATTTAGTTTGGATTTCTAACCTCAAATTAAGATCCTTTGCATAAGAAGATGAGACTATAATGAATGTTCCAATCCCAAACACAAAAGTTGATCTTGAAATATCTTTCCACATTATCAAATCCACTGAGTCATAAACAAGAATTGTTAGTTAGTGCTATATATAATTTGAATAGTATGAAATTTTATGAACAGTACTGTGTTCTACAGTGGAAAGCATCTCACCTAGACTCTGCAACTTGCTTTGAGTTTGTGGAAAACTGCTGTGTTCTTTCTCCTTTGGAACTGAACCTTAAAAATCATTAACACAAACCAATTAATTAATCCTAAAAATCCAAAAACTGAAAGAATGAAACTGAAAAATACTTACTCGAATTTCGGTAAATTGTTGAATTCCTTCTGATTGAAGCCGATTGCTTGACTACAAGAGGTACAGAAATTGGTCTTGTTTCATTTTTGTGATGAAATCGCATGTTGGCATTGACAACCTTTTTTGTTTCTGGTTTTGGTTTTGGTTCTGGTTCTGGTTCATTCACAACAATCTTATCCTTTTCTGGTTCTGGTTCTGGTTCTTCTTCATTCACGACAACAACCTTATCCTTTTCTGGAATAGTAATTTCCTTGACATCAAAGCTCTCCGTTTCGATCTCAATCTCCTCGGCATTACCAACACGAACCAAATTTTCAGGTGACATCTCTTTCTCTTCACAATTTTCAACATTCTCTTGTTTTTTCTCAGCTTCAATCTTTTCAGACTCATCACCACCACCATTATCCAATTCATCAACCTCGTTTTCTTGAACTTGATCCAATTCAGATTTGGACTTACTCAATTGAATTGAATCAGTAGAAGTTGAATTCTTCTTGATCGGATCTGATTTGATCTTCCTGAATTGCCCTGCTTCACCAACCTTGTGTGTATCAGATCTTAGCTTTCTTGATTGAATTGGGCTTCTCTGTTGTTCCTCTGAATTCTTTTGAACTGGAGTCCAAGTTTTTCTGGGCACAATTGAGGTTCTTTTAACTCTAGAAGGAACAGCATTTTGTTCTTCTTCTTTGAAGACTTTGATTCCACCTTTAACTTGATCATTCTTCATTCTGGTTTCCCACACTGAACCTGGAGCAACCAAAGCTTTTCTTTTATTGATATTGAATTCCATGGATGTATTTATTATAAAAAATGGGACATGAGTGGATAAGAGGCTTGAAGGTGAAGCAATGGCGGTTGGTGGGGGTGCAACATTGGGATCCTTTTCTAAAGCAATTATAGTAGTAGTAGTAGTAGTTGTAGTTGCTACTCACTTTTCTTCTTTTTTTTCTTGTTTGTTTTATTATTCTACTTTCTTTTTTCTTTTTCTCTTACTTGTTGGGGTTCAATGATTAGCGTCGGTTGTTAAGGATTTCACTAAACTCCATAACTAAAATGATATCCTAAAACTTATCACTACTCTCTCTCATTGCATATACTATAATACTTAAGAATCAATACTTAAGCCAACATCACACACTAGATAAATATATATGAAATCACTTTCATTCATGTGATTTCTTTCTTCTTTTCTTAAAGAAAATTGTGCTTTTGACGTGCACATGTGACATGGGTATGATTTTTTTTTGTTGGTGTGTATGTATTATGAATTAGGTGATTTTTTTGGATGTGTATGTATTATGAATTAGGTGAATTCTACATAGATCTTTATTTCTAATATATAGATAATTATATCAAATCTTTCATCAATTCTCTAACCTAACTTGTTATAAGGCACGAGTACCATTTTCGACGACGAGTAATATGACATCTATGTATAACACAAAATATAATTATATTCTTTTGTAAATACAAGGCTGATCTTCATTTTTAATAAATTCAAAGTGTTCTATAGTCTTATCAAAACGATGGTTCCAACTCCTAAAAGTTTGCTTCAATTCATATATTAATATTTACAACTTGCATACATTTTTGGTATACTTCGGATTATCAAAACCTTTGGGTTGGATCATGATCTTGACGGTTGATCAGAACCTGAAGTGGGTCAGGGATAATCGTCTGTGATATTGGGTGTGAGAGAGGAGGAGGAGTGTACCTGCAAGGCACTTTGATGCTAAAGTAAGAATCTGGAGAAGGAAGGTAAATACAGAATATGTGTGTATTAAGGTGAATATTGAATACATGACCCTCTCAAATGAGAGGGTTTTAATAACGCTCTCAGCGCTTGGCCATTGGTCCCTATTTTTGGGGCGAGATAACCGTTTCATAAAAAATAGGTAATTGCCAGAACTAGCCGTTGGAACGGAAAGAGGTGTCCATAACTAGCCGTTGTTACGGGCAGAGGCACAGTTACAGGTACAAGCGTCTTGGTTGTTTCTGGATGGTGGAACCGTGCATGACGGACAAGTCTTGACGAGGAGAAGTGTTGGCCCAGGGGTAAACCGGTCAATCTCCCCTGTTGGAGGGGCAGAAAGGTAAATGTTCCCCCTAATTGGTTGGACTTAGGCAATTCGGTCATTCTGGGAGCAGAAGTGGATTGAGTCATGCCTAGCCATTGGACCAGTTCGGAACAGTAGCCCCCCAAGTCGTTGCTTCCGAGCATGGGAGTGATGACTTAAGGACAGTCCGCATTCCGGGCAAGGTCGTCGCTAGCCGCAAAGATGGGACTGTGACCTTGTGCCTGAGGGAATATTTGACCGGGCATTTGTTATGCTGCTTGTCGGGGAGCTCGAGGTACTGGGAGACCAACGATTGATGGGATCTGAAGAGAAGTGTCACGTGTGCTGCATTTAATGCGCAATGATGGCTAGGCTAGCACTACAAGAAATATTGCAATTTCTCACATGATATTCACGTCACTAAGTTAAAAACCACGTCACTGAACAAGATTTGCGACGAGAGCACGTCGGAAAAGTAATGGTGGGAACATTTTCCCACGTGAAATTCACGTCACAAATTTGTGACATGGAATTCACGCCACAAACCACCAAATTAATTGAAAAAGTTCCCACGTGAAAATAACGTCACTAATTAGTGACGTGAATTTCACGTCGCAAATCACTTTTCCCAAAGTCCCTGCAGCGTGCTCAGTATTGCAGCATGAAAGGTTTTCCACGTGATTTCCATGTCACTAATTAGTGACATGGTTTCCATGCCACAAATTAAAAGTTGTTTTAAATTTATTGACTTTGTTTTCACTTCACTGTTTAATTTAATAATAATAAAAATTAAATATTAATAAATACAACGAATTAATAAATAATAAAATATAAAAATTTAAATAATTTTCAATTAAAATTTTTATTTTTTTTAATATATACAATTATTAAAAGATATAAATATTTAGTCACATTATATTCACGTCACAAACATAAAAAATAATTAAAAAAATTGTCACGTAATATTCACGTCACAAACATAAATAATAATAAATAAAAAAGTTATTCATCGTCACTACTAAATATAGCTTCTTCATCATCTTGGACAGAATAATTCGATTGTGAGGCAAAAAATGTTGCATTTGTGCCTCCATGTCAGATTGTCGCTTCCTCATTTCCTCCATTTCAGCATTTTGCCTATTTCTCATATCCTCCATTTCGGCCTTTAGGGCCGCCTCACGTGCCTCCGCCTCTCGTCGCCTCAGATAGAGTTAACTCTCTCACTGTTGCCAACATTTCTGGTGTCAATTCAGCCGGACGAGATCCTCCTTCTCCATCATCGAGTCTTTGAAATAAAGTTCGGTCCCGTTTTCTATAATCGTCAGCCAAAGACCCAAGACCAAAAAAATACCCATTAACTCCTTTCCCGCCTACTGTTTAATTCCAAATATAAAGATCCACGCGTGGATCAAGCGCTGCATTCCCAATCGGCATATACTGAGGATTTTCAGTTAGAAATTGGGCAAGCAAGGTCTGATACAACTCCTACACACACATAAAAAAATTTAAATTAAAATAAATATAGTTTAAACAATTTAATTATATAAAATAATAATGAAATAAAATAATTCAACTATAAACAAGTTACCAAGGTTGATTTGGAATGGCCGTCAACAAACTCCTCCGATTTTTTGGTTCGGGTCTTCACAAATAGTTCATTAATTTGTGGCTCCCTCCCCAAATCTTTTTTCTAATTAAAATAATTAAGTTTAATTAAATATATAATAATACAAAATAGAACTTAAAAAAATAGTTATAATTACCATTCGTCGACAATGTTCGCCGATACTGATACTTTCAATTGTACTAAGGCAACCACCTACTTCAGATGCCCTCATCTTTTTTTGCATGTTCAGATCTTCTCTAAAAATCTTCTGTCTTCCACCACTCAATAATTTTCCCAAATATTTCCTCGCCTATCCAGTTAGAACGAGTTGATCTCTTTCCCAACGTTGTCTAGCATTCCTGAGCATGTCAGATAATCTGCTAGATACCTTACTTCTAATTTTGACCTCGTCAAATTTTTGCCAAGTACACATTTTCTGCAAGTTATATGATAGTCAAATAAAATTTTAGATATTTATATAACAAAAAATAATTATAAAATAACATAATTATAATAAAAATACAATTTACCTTGAATTTATCAAACCATATATCTTTCTTAGTGTTGTACCCCAAAATTTGACCAACCATTTCTTGTACTTGGTTTATGTTTCATTCTCATTTTAGCATTTGCATTTTTCATAGCATTTTTCTTAGCAGGGAATCAAGAGTTGTTTTGTGCCATTCAAGAGGAAAGCTTCATTGCTCAAGCTCAAGCGAGAGCATTTGTGCAAGCCATCAAGTGTTCACCATCATCATAGAAGGGTTCCATAGCTCCTTGAGAAGAGGTTTGGGTGTGGGTGTCCTCTCTTATCTTGGGGGTCATCTGAGACTTATGAGAGGATCATTCAGAAGTTCATGAGGTCATGGTTTTGAAGTTCATTGAGTACTTTAGAGGCTATTGGGAAGTTGGAGTGGTCATTCAATTCATCTGCAAAGGGCATTGAAATTAGGGTTTCACATATAATCAGCTTAGACTTATTTCTTTGATCAAGACTTAGTTCCTTGACCCTTCACATGCCCTAAGGTGTTTAGGGGAAGAGGATTGATCATCAACTTCAACCAGAAGAGCTTCAATTGGTCAGTTAATTGCAAATTAGAAGGATTTGGGGAAAAGTCAATTGTGCAAAGAAAAAGTCAACTCCTGACTTTTTGAGATCAAAATCATGTTCCTCAAGTTCAATATGGCGAATGGGTGAACTTTGACCAAGAAATGTCAAAAGGATCATAAAGAATCAAGAAGTGTGAAACTTGTCGTTTTTGGAAATTTAGGGTTTTAGAAAATTTCCATTTATGGAAAGTTTCATGGTTGAATCAGCCATCTTCAAAGCCATTTTTCTTCATGATCAAGGTTCCAAATGAAATTTTGTTCAACATCAAAATTGTTCCCCATACTCTGATCTTTCTTTTGAGTACCAATTCATCATCATATGATGCTTGAAGCTCAAGTTATGATGTTCAAAAGTTAGGGTTTTCAAGGACCTCAAACTTAGCAACTTTGGACAGATTTTTGGACCAATTTTCCAAGCCAATTTTCATCAAGTTCTTGATGCCAAATGGAATTTTGTCCCACATGATAGTTGTAGGTCTTGTTCCAAGCTTTTCATCCATTACTAGAAGTTTCTCATGTGATACTTGAAGCTCAAGTTATGGAGGTTCAAAGTTAGGGTTTCAAGTGAATTAAAACTCATAACTTAGAAATTTTCTAAGTTATTTCAAGACAGATTTTATGTCATGGTTTTCAAGCACAATTTTCACGACTTTACAAGTTGCAAACCAAGATTTCTTCAACATCAAAGTTGTTCCTTACCATGCAAGCTTTCATTTGAGCCCCATTTCCAATCAAGAGGAGACTTGTGCATCAAGCTACAATGTTTCAAAGTAGGTGATTTGGAAAGCATTTCAAGGCATGATTCATAGTTGATTTTGGCTTGACTCTCAATTGAGTTTTGCAGCATTGTTTCACTATCTATATCATGTGTAAGATGTCCCTTTCCACACTCCAAAACATTGCCAAAATGAGACCAACAAGGCATGTACCATTGTGGTAGGATTTTGAAAATCTTGGCCAAAGAAGGAAAGGGACAAACAGCCACAAGCCTAACCATTGCACACTCCCTCTGGTTCT